GAAAAAAAAAAAAAAAATGACAAAAGACTTACACAGATAGTTTTTTGTGGCTGAATATTCCTACCCTGGACCGCCCATCTGAAAAATCCAAATCGACCTGCTTGGTTGGGATGTTAAACAATTATGCAAATCTTAGAGTAGAACTTGTTGAACTAATTTAAATTTAAAATTTAAAACAATCCGTCAAAATAATATCAAATATGCAGTAAACGAAAGCGCGACATGAGAAGTGCTTGTACCCTCATTGACACCTTCTCACCAGCAAATCCATCAACTGCCCTAACTAACGGGTCGAACAATTGAACTAATTGTTGAACTTTACTTCGATCTCTCAAGGTTTCCTGTAGATGTAACATACTGACAAAATCACATCCAAAATGGAGTAACGTAGCTCATAACAAGATGAGGTCAATTTCATTGCAAAACATCTTTAAGTAATTTGAGAACTGATCAAACCTAAATTAAACTATTCTGGAAAATACAAGATCATCCATTCAATCTTGAAGGTTGCATTCCTGTTGTTACCAAATAAGATAAACATTCAGGTTTCATATTTTATTTTCACGTACAGCCGGAAACATATATGTCATGGCTGCCATTCCCCAGTTCCAGAAAAAAGGTGAAGTTCCGAACCGTGCACTGACAGTTGGGATTCCTAGGACCTCATGGATGCTCCTCACCTCAGGCAAATTCCTGCGAAAATAGATGAAAACTAAGAAAAAAAAAACTTACATTTATGCGGAGAAAGAAAAGTTCCTAACGAAGGTTGCCTTATAGTAGATTTAGCTTGAAATTAAATAATCAGTATGCATCCAACAACCATCAACCATGCATTGTCGAAAATACAAAATAATATTTTTGTAGGCATCTATGTTGTTTTTCTAACATCTAATATCGAGGGCATCCAACAAACTGTGTTCAAGTGTCATCTTTGTTAAATATTAGTAAATAGTAATGAATAACTCCACAAACATTGATACCCAAATATGACAAGCTCATGACGTGTTGAACTGAGCATACAGTTTACTCATTTATGTAGTGGCAAAAAGATTTAATAAGATTCAAATAAAAACAAAGACCCAATTATCAATTAGTATGCTACACGAGATCGCAAGTTACTAAATACATCTGATTTGCAGGATCCTCCGAAAAGCTAGAGTATGAGAGCCATGCTTTATTACGAAAATTAAGTAAATAACAGGTGTTATCATATGAGAAACTTACAAGACGAAAACATCCCTTTTCCCAATTCCTTCTCCAAAATCAATGCTGAGCATTCCACTATAAGGTTTCAGCTTAATTTTCTCTCCTGTCAAATACTTTGTGCTCGATTAATATCAACAAGAGAAGATAATGGGCCAAAAAGGGGGCGGTGAAAAGTAACATAGTATTAATCAACCTTGACGATATGCAATGACTTCCTCCCCAAGAAGTAAAAAGCTAGTTGACAATATTGTTGGGCCAGCACCACCTGAGCCAGCAGTGTAATAATAGAACCTAATAATAAGAAAACATGTTTGTAGTTATAATTGCACGACTTTTTGAGAAAAATAAGAATAAAAGGAGAATGACAAATAAATTGGACTTTTGCTCCAGTCAGCAGCCAGCTATCAACTTACAATTAATCAGTCAAAACTTTTACAGTTTATCCAAGCAAGCCATATAGACGGTTGAGGAAAATAAATTACCTCAACCTCTTTGGTTCACCTTTGCCTTCACTTTTGGCTGCACGAACCAGCTCCGCTGCCATCACTGTGACAATATTAAATAAAAAAAGTGATGTCTGAAACTGAATAATTGTCCCTCAGCCAATATATAAAATAAGATAAAGCCCACACAGGATGGCAATAATACATATAATGCCACACCACAATCATATTAAAATCAAGACTTGGTTGTCGCACTGGTTTGTCGAATGATGAAGCAACCAAATTTTGGCAAAATACAAATTTCATAACTCATAGATACCATCAGAGAGCACCCTACAGGTCAATC